TCTTAAATTCTGCACCTTTGTGGACAGAATGTTTGAATGCTTGTCGATGTGGGCCCGAAGAAGCTCTTTTAAAAAGCCTTATGAATCCTTAGCTCAAAAGAAGTGCATAGGGAAGAAAAAAAAAAGATGTGGATCCATGAGTCTGTTCTTGCACAAACAAGTTTGTGTTCCTTCAACTTTGTAAAATATTTCTCTTTGGCATTGTCATACCAGCAATAACTTAACAATGTGTGCAAACCTTCATTGTTTTTACCAAGCCTTTTGTTTAAATGCTGTTCTCTGTATGTTGTATTGTCGTCTCATATTGGCCGAATGTTAAATAAAGTTTTTGTGCAGCATCTCCACTAACACACCCATGGTGCACAATAATGGAGCCACACAGACAATTTAAGCAGAGTCTGTGTTATGATTTTCTCCATGTGACAAATAGGAAGAGGTTTAAAAAAAAACAAACAATCAAAAAACAGGTGAAATAACAACCAGGCGGGTGGTTCGCCTGGTTGTTATTTCACTGTTTCATTGACATCATGACTTATTTTTTATTTTTTTTCTAAAAGAAGGAAGAAAACGGAGCATTGGTGAGAGCAGATGACGCAGAAACCTAATTAAGATTCTCCAGAGCGTGAACAAATTAACCTGAGTTATGAGCATGCAGAAGCAAAAGACAAGACACACATATATGCAAACATACCCACAGACACACACACACCTAACAGTTTATCTCTGGAATAGGTGGAGTCGGGGAGGATGACATTCACACTTACACCGGCATGACTGCCATGGACACTCAGTGATATTGTTGGCAGGGCCAAGGCAAAATATTACAGGCCATTTAGTCCGATAACACCACCATGGAAAACACAGCAAAATGGTCCACAGGTTATGGCATATCTACTTTCATTCAAGTTTAATTTAAAGCGCCCTCAAAGTGTCCGCCTCATCACTCAGATTTGGGGCAGTAAGGATGATAAAAATGACATGTAGCTTCATGTGGAAGAAAAAAAAAATTAGCCTAACAAGCGGAGCTGGATAAACAGGCTGCCCCGCGTAGACTATGCTAATGACGACGCAGAGAGCGACATATGCCAGGCATCAGTATGTCACTCCTCGGGGACATGGGGGCTTACGGTAACAGGATAGGAAGGTGGTGGTGTGTACGGTGGTGAGTTATAGGGTTTTTCCTTTTTAACTCTTAGTACAAAGCCCTGGAGGCAGACGGGGGGGTGGGAGGGTTTAGAAACACAGGGATGAGAGTTCAAGGGAAAGGTACAAGTCTTGAATAAATGACAGCAGCGGGGATGAACTTGACCCATGCTGGAGGACTAAAACAGGAAGGAGGGTAATGAAGTGCAAACATGCTTTGTCATGCCATGTTACAGCCATAGGATTAGAATTCTATAATTAGAGGATGGGGCACAATAACACTAGCCTTCCTTTTCAGGAAGATGAGCCGCTGAGTCTAAATTACACAAGGGGACCAGAGAACAGATGCTGTGATCAGAACAGGCTGGTCTAGAAGTTTTCTATACCGGTAAATGATGCTCAGTTGCCACACGGTACAGTGTGATTGACAAGCTAAAAAAAGATTCAAAATTGGGCACCACTGGTGAGATTTACTGATGTTTCTGTGATCACATCATGACAATGTAATTTTTTATGACAGACAGCTGCTGTTAGGGGGACTGCTTTCCAAAGCAAGATGCATATTTAATGCTGTTCATTTGCAGTTTTTCATGTATTATTACACACAGAAGCCTTTAGAGGTTAAGGTTAGGTATGTGGTCCGACACCTGCTCTGTGGCTGACCTGAACATCAGTGAGGAGCGCAAAAATACCGAAGTCGGGTTGTTATAACGCCGCTATAACCGAGGAGCAGTGGACCGCTAAGATAACGCCTGAATTTCGTATATGAAAATTTATCTCAGAGGCTGGCATTGGAACAGATGAGCCCGCATGGGAGAGAGAGCGAACCATCCATCTCACTCTCTCCCCCTTTTTCCGCACTTCATTCTTTACTTTCATGCATCTCCCTTCTCTTGCAATCACCATTTCAATGCTTCTTTCCTCTTTTGCATTTTCCACCCACATTTTCCCTCTAGGCTTCCCCTCTTTTTCTTGATATCACCCGATCTATTGCTCTTCCCCTTAAGCGCCATCCCCCTATCCATTCTCTCCATAGCACTGATGTATGGAAAGAGATGGAGGGACCCAAAAAAAAAGGAAAAAGGCTTGTGATTAATGTCTTTGAGAAAAAGATAAATAATCACAGGAGACTGGGGGCTGGTAGTTGGCCTTAGGGGAGTAAATATGGAGAGTTTTATAGCTGCTCACTTGGGAGAGAGGGAGGTAGAGGACGGGATGGGAGGGGAAGGAGCGGAATACAGCGACAGCAGATCCATTCAAGTATATTAGCTCCCCCCCAACCCCCATACACAATAACCTCTGCATCTATTCTACTGCTCTACTGTCTTTCATCATCAACACTGAATCCCATCCCACTGACAGCACACACATTTGCACACAAGAAGCCACACAAAGTCATGCATGCATATACGCTTGTGTGCGCACACATACACGCCCTAACAGCCACCCTGCACTGTTTTCCAGGCCAGACCCACTGTATGTGTTTGATGGGCCAATACATGTGGTGTGTGATGTGGCTGACAGCCTCCTCCCTCCCACGCTGCCCTGCTTTTAAGCCCTCATCCTCCAGTGGCTGCCTGTCCCCTGGAGTAGATTGCATCTTTTATTTATCATTTTCTCTTCCTGGCTTTATCTTCCCAAGCTTTAAAAAAAATAAAAAATTCTGGGGTGAAAATTGCAATCAGCATAACATGCCCTCCTCCTGCTGTGTACTCGCCTGTCATTCTCCACTCTCTGTGAGCATGCGGGATGAGACTGACAGCCCATGCAGACTCAGACACACAGACACACACACACACAGAGGGAGAGAGATGCATGTACAATTTCCCTCTGTGTTTATCAAGCCCACACACACACTCTGACACACTTTTCCATCTCTTTAAAGCAGACAGAAGCACATGCATGGCCACAGTAAATGACCTCGTTACCCTGCCTGTCACTATTTCCCAAAGCACACACACACACACACACACACACACACACACACACACAC